ACGCCGAGAGCTTTATCCTTTATTACTTTATCAGTCACTAAAGAAGTGAGCTTCTACCGACTATTCATCGACAGTGACAAAAAAGTTGTTAGGACTGAAGACACCATGGACACTCAGTCTGAGGCAACCTGAAGCTTCCGCTCCAGAGTATGTCATAACTAACGCGAAAATGAAGTCGAAACTGAAGGTTGCGTGTGTGGTGGTTAGATTATGGAATACCTCATAATTCTTGGTTATTATAGGACAGCAGGTTTGGGATGAACTAGTAGCTTTTACTTCACTATACTGAGCGAATTCATTCGTCGAACCGACATGCATGCCTTTCATTTAGTAACCTAAACATGTTTGGTGAATGAATAAACTGCCAGACTCCCAAGAAAATCCCAGTGAATGGTTTTAAGATTCACATCTATTTATCATTCCTAAATTGGTCCTAAAATGTTCACAGCTACACTTTCAGTGTGCAATGTCTTAAAAACAACTCCAAATAATGGGGACGTTTTGTTGGCTACTACATGTACTAGCACGAATCCAGGACTCTGTATCTGCTGATATACGCCCCAAGGTGGTAAACATTAGATGCAACCAATACAGAAAACATTTCTGCACAGAACACTTAAATAGTTGTCTGAAATAACGTTAGTGATAGAAATTTTAGGTTACGAAAATTGTAGATTATGTGGGGAATGTGTTCTGGGCACAATGAATTGAAGACTGTTAGGTTACAGACGTTGTAAGTTGCACTACTACTTATACCTGCTGTAGGCTGTGGTAATTGTAAAAATGCTAAGTACAGAAGTTTAAGTCCTAATGAATATAAACGATTTGCAAGAAGTCGGCGATTCGTATAATAGATATGTAGCAAAAGGTCTCTCTTAGTGCCGACCCTTGACGAAGAAGAGCAGCAGAGAGTCCTTTCTAAAAGGCAAATCTCTTTAGCGAACGCTGTCTGCACCAACGACAGTCGTTTGCTAGCTCGCTAGCGAGGTGTGCTTGTCCAAGAAAGTTATTGTAAAACTAAGCATACAGAACAGATTTCCAGGTTCGATGCCCAGAATAATGCATTCGATAAGCGGTCAGTTAATTACGGAAAGTGCAACACAGATATCCGTACTCAGCAAAATATCCACTGTATCACTTGTAGTCACGTTGATCGTCGAGTAACTCGAGCGGGCGCCAGTAAATCTTCCATTTTCTCTGTCGCGTGCAAGAGTAGTCCAGTGGGTTCTGCTCACTCTAGGGTCTCGTTGAGCATCATATCTTTCTTCAAAGCTCTTTGTGAAGAACTCTGACCTCGGTGGTCTTCCTGCAATACATTTGACATCCCAAGGAATCCAGTCACAAATGGCTCTTGTCCATCGGTTGTCATTCAAACGTATTACGTGTGCAACCCACCCTATCTTCGACTGTATGGCGTACAGAACAGCATCTTTGATTTTTGATCGTTGACGCAGATCGGAGCTTCCGATCCCATCCATTACTTGTGTGGAACGGGATACTCCTAGCATCGTCCTTTCGACTGCGCGTTCGATAACGCTAAGTGACCTTTCATCCTGCTTACGCAGTGATCAGGTTTCTGACACATACGTTAGGGCAGGAAGTACCGTTGAGTCGAAAAGGTGGACACGGAGTCGGGTGTTCTTTGTTCTTTTCACTACATCTTCGATGGTCTTGAAAGCTCCCCAAGCCGCTCGTTTCCTTCTTCTCGGCTCTGGAGTTAGGTCGTTCATCATATTGATTTCTCGGCCTAAATAGATGTAACTGGAGCATTCGGAGATATTCGTTTCGTTGAGCTTGAATGGGGTATGCGAAACCAATCCGTTCTTCATGAACATCGTTTTTGTAAGATTTAGGCGAACACCAGTCCTTCCACAAGCTTTACCAAAGTCGTTATGCATACGTTCCGCTTGGTTAAAGTTTGGTGTTATAAGGACGATGTCATCAGCAAAGCGAAAATGGTGTAACTGTCGACCATCGATTTCCACTCCCATATTATCCCATTCCAATGTTCGCATAACGTTCTGGAGGGTGGCTGTAAATAATTTTGGCGAGATGGTATCGCCTTGCCTAACTCCTCTTTTGAGGTCAATGTTAATATCGTTATAGAATGGTGATATTTTCCTTGTGAAACTTTTGTACAGCTTACGAAGAATCTTTATGTACTGAGTAGAGACTCCTTGACCATCAAGGGTTTCCAAGACTGCTTCTGTCTCAGTTGAATCAAAGGCCTTCTGTAAATCGATGAAAGTGAGACAGAGCGGTCTTTTGTACTCTCGCGATACTTCAATGAGCCTTGTTATCGTATGGATGTGGTCCTTTTCGAAACCCTGCTTGCTCACATGGCTGTCCTTCGTCTAGTGTTCTATCAATCCTGTTTAGGGTAACTTGAATGAAAAGTTTGTAGACGACATACAGTAAGCAGATTGGGCGATGGTGGCCGATATCGTGTAGTTCGCCCTTCTTGAACAATAACACGGTCTTGCCGGTCTTCCACTGAGTTGCATTCAGACAGCTAACGTGTGAACAGCTGAGCCAGTATATTTACGAGGACTGGTGGACGGTTCTTCACGTGTTCTGGTCTTATCCTGTACGGACCTGGTGCTGTTTGATTCTTCACCGACGAAATAGCATGTCGGATTTCGGAAGGGAGAACCGGTGGTACAACATACCAATCTCCTTTATTTCATATGACGGAAGGTGGACGTAGCTATCGAAGAGATCCGAGTAGTATTCGTGAATGATTTTCTCTATTACCTTTCTGGACGGTGTAACTGTTCCGTCTGGGCGCCGGAGTGCAATCATTTTGGTCACGTAATTGGCAAAGCTTCGGTGGGCTTTGCGAATGCTTTTCCCAGCCTCTGCAGTTCCGACCATCACTGCTGCTCTTCTCTCTTTATGAGCTTCTTTTATCGCCTGTCTGCATTGTTTTGCAAGCTCGGACGTTAGGCCTATTAGCTCGAGTGTTTCTGGAGACAAACGTCTCTTGGTGACTTTCGAACTCTCAGCTTTCATAGCGTTAACGTGAAGAAGTTTAATGAGCCGATTGTATCCTCGATGTTATCAACAACAGCATCTTCTCAACAGCCGACTAATGAATTGAATAAGTCCCACGCAGTTTGCGGTGGTTCTGGGACTTCGGTTTTGGAATTAAGCGGCTTTTTCTCCTTTCCGCGAGGAATAAAATCTTGAACGAAGGAGACAATGGTCTGATCCCGTGTAGACTTTTGGGACAACCACAACATCGGTTAAACAAAACCTATTTACTATGATGTGGTCTATTTCGTCATGGTACTCTCCATTGGGAGACTCCCACGTCCAGCGCTGAGGATGGGGTTTCTGGAATTGCGAGTTACTATGGATTGTCTTGGTCCGTTCACCCTGTTCGTTCCAATCCGTGGGTCCCAATGTGGCGTTCTTCAGACGTTCTTGTTGGTCCAATCTTGGTGTTGAAATCTCCAAACAAACGATGTGTGGTCTTCTCTGTAGAATTTCTCCAAGTCCATATAGAACGCTTCGACTTCTTTTTCGTCATAGTTTGATGTCGGCGAGTAAACGACGATGATTGTCCAGAGCCGTAATTAATCCACGTCTTTTTAATCGTAAACGTCCGATTCGGGTTGTAAGTTGTTCGAATGAATCGATGTTCATGGACAAACTCATGTTGACGAGAACGCGACGCCGCCGACTCCTCCACTGTAGCATGTTCTGAGGAACAGTTTTTCTCCGGTGTCATAGACGGCGTTGAAAGGCTGGCGTCTCCTCGTCTCGGCCAGGCCGATGACGCCGTACTTTATCCTTCTTGCTTCCATGAGGAAGTCTTCTATCGAGGACACGGATGCAAATCATTGTAGGTACACATCGTCACCATAGTTCTTTGAAATCCAGGCAGCTTCCATTGGCCTTGAGATTTTAGCAGCCTTTCCGTATTTGTCCTACCCTCTTTTGTGGTCAGGGGAATGAGGCCCGTCTTTTTTTTACTGTGTTTTGCATTTTTGGTACCTACGTATAGCTTGCTGGGCTCCGATCGTGGAGGCCGTGTATACTCACGGGTAGCTTGCCAGGCTCTCCCAGAGTGGACATGGAGCTTATTTGCTGGAGACGACTCTTAATTGCCTCCCATATACTTCCCTGTCACTTGATTGAAGGTTTTGCCCGAATTGGCTTGTAGGGTGCAATCCGCGTAAACTAGAACGCACTCACACACGCATGCATGAATACGCCTCGTAAATATAGAAAGTATGTGCCAAATCAGCGCAACAGAAACAGGGTGTCTATCCTCTGAATCCACCTGCGTCTCAGGGAAGCAAAAGTCGCTTTTGGTCTGCGATTAACCCCCTATCCGCCACCTGGCAACGCGCCACGTAGCCTCGCGACTAACCGGCTCGAGATCCTTCATATGAGGGAGATCCTTGGAACTCAGAAAAATAAACCGCCGTAAATAACATGGCTAGATGTCAACTCATGCCAGTTCCTAAGTGTTAAATTAGCAGATCTGATCTCAAGGTGAACTGTATTAAAACTGAAATCAGTAGAATTCACAAATCTACTGCAATAATCTATAAGACCTCTTATTCTAATGAGGTGAAATCCTGACTTTATGAAGCCCACAAATATTTATTTAATTTTATATCTTCCAGGCGCCTTTTTTGAAAGTGAGAGCAATTTAGCAAATGATACTTCATCCATTAGAATCCGGTGATATTCCTAAATGTATCGGTGACATCTATGTCTTTCGGCACTTGGAGTTTCAAAAATCCGAATTTCGTTCCCATCTCTATTGAAAATTCTAGTTCTAAAGAAATTCAAAATCAGAGAAGGTATTAAAGGGCCATAATTACTCTTAAACAGATAGTGCAAAATCTAATTTTTAAGTTGATCACGTTTTTAACTCCTTAACTTAGCGTCACCACCGTAGCTCTTAAATTTTCCGGTCATAATAAATTAATTGACTTATTCGTGATGAGCAATGACTGCCAGATAGTTTTCAGCTTTGAAATTAAATGTACAGAAGTATTACTAAATGTGCCTTGCATTATATTTATTTTACATATAATGTACAAATTTAAGTGGCAGAACGGTTGACCGACGCGGTACGAATACTTGACCACGACCCTTCGCTTGCTCTTTACCGACTGCAAGGTTTTTTAGTGATTTCATGGTTTAATTTTTTGCTATTTGTATATTTCGTATTTACCCTGGAATATTTTACATTTTTCAGTATTCAAAAGGTACTGGTAGAATCCACTTTTTGGAACTAGGCTTTATCTAACTACGTTGTAATTCCTTTCAAATTTGCCGCAAAAGAGACACATGAAGCAGAACGAGTGCTTGAAAAGCAGTACTAGTATTGTGAACATTATTCCAACCTTAACACCTTAGCAAGGCGCTGGTTTCACACAGCCCCACAAACGAAAACCCTTCCATCCCACCGGCATCATGTAATTGGTATCGTCAGCTGACTCTCTCCAAGCCACACAAACTGTTCTGAAGATATGAGTACAACTTAGCACGGTTATGAAGGGATTTTGAAGGAGAATCGACCAAGATTCTTAAGCGGTAGCCGAACGCGTGTGAAAAATGGATGCGAGGGAACGAATCGAATTCGAACATGCTGGAATACACATAAAATGTGATGTTGATTGGTGTACAAAAGATACTGGAATTGTACGGATTTTCAACCATAACATATTTGCGGACGCTTACTTCAACGGCTAGTCTTCATGAAGATGGTAGAAGTTCTAAAACAATCGCAACTTTATTGGTATTTTGCTGGTTGGGTATGAGCTTTCCTCCAGAATTCCGACTGTTTCATGTGGAGGCGCCCCAGATGGATAAAGGATAAGGCTCTCGGCGTTCAATCGCTGAGAGATCCGCCATGCATTCGACTTCACTAAACATCGTTGGAAGTGACTGAATGCATAACTGGTCTTTACAATCACTCGCGGTGGTCTACCGATGTATCGAGACAGCTATCCTACCAGACAAGTCTGGCACCAATTCGCCGACCCCGGAAGGATGGAAGGCTTGGTGAGCCACGGGCGCGGGTGCCGATCTCACGTGCGCGTTGCAGGGCGCCTCCGACCATTGCGCCGCACGAGCCGCAGCCTTCGTCTATTTCCCCACATATTTTGGAGTCATTGTCTGCGTACAGCCACAAAGGGGAGGAAACACAAGTCTTTTGAACTCAGATGACTGCGTGGTTTGGAACCTCCTAGTAGAAGTCCGACACACAAAAATCACCTCCGTATGTCCAAGTCCAATAAGATCCTAACAAATTGAGCGAGAAACGTCGTTTTTTCCAAAAGATCTTTAAATTATGCCAGTTCCTTCGCCTATATCCAATATGTCAGCAATGTACTGAATTCTTTCAAATAATTAATTATAACCACTTACTATTGTACTTACAGAACATGTTGGTCGCAGTTTGCCGGGTCTCGTACAACGAAAAATCCAGTTAAACAAAAAAACTACTCTACTCAGTGGTATTCAGTTTGATTTGGAAAACGCTCTAAGGTTATTTCCATGGAAATGTCAGTTTTTCCAATAGCAGTTTAGCATGAACATAAATGATTATATTAAGTACTGTGGAAAGCATACGCATGTCTGCTTCAACATTCGAGGAATGTACAGAAATGCTGCGTGATTGCATTTTTTACAAACAGCAACTGGATTTTGATGTTAACAGGAAGGTAAAACTCTGAGAATCCCAATTAGTGAGCTGATACAACAGCTGTAAGATCCGTAAAATTATTTTAGATTACTGATGTAACCGTGAAGGGACGTAGTAAGTCCCTCCATGATGTAACACGCAGATATGAAGAGAAAGACTGACAGCTAATCTTATCACAGTTAACGAACTGGTACTACTAGATTTCGCATTAATTGATAATGTTATCAGCTGACTAATTTCTCATGCTAAAATGTACAAGCAATTATATTTTGCTCCTGTCTTTCAAAAATATTAGGATGTAGTTTCGAACTGTTCGTTCCTTTTAATGATTTTTATCCCTATTTCGTGGCTTCTGATTGCTCTGGATTGCTGGTATCACATTTATATAGGAATTGCATAGTTGTAGTAAAGAATTTTGTACATTTTTTGCGTGTACTGCTAAATGGACATGAGTAACATTCTAATTGAACCATCACCTTAATCAATTACTAGAAGCAGTTTATACAGCGTCAGTGGGGTCATGATAAATAACCTGTTCTTCAATAATATGGATCTTCGTATTAAGAACACAGTTACGCTGTAATGGATGTCACTAGACTACCAAATAACCCAGAATTCATTTACTGTGTAGACGTTCTTCATATTTCTTTGTAATCTTACATCCTTTATAAAAATTCGTAATTGAAGACATATCAACCACAAAGTCAACAAAGATGAGTATCAAGAGTAACAATGCGCGATAAATGGAGCTAAAAACCTGGGAACATAACAAAACAGATTATCTCGAAGTCACACCGCATGACATGAAATAGCAAAACTGCAGGTGCTCAAATAAGGTCTTCAGTCATCGTTACGACGATTGATAACAAAAAGACTAGCTATTTCTTTAATGTCTTCTTCCTAAAATGACTAATTTTAAAAGAAAAGAAAAGACTAGAACGAAATAACTCTAAGTACCTCGACTGTCTCCCGGCCACTAGCTTGTGCTTGTAACCTGGCAGGTGTTAGTAGTTGAGCAACAGATCTGAAAGAAATCAAATTACTTTCATTAACAATCGCGACAGTGTTTGTTTCTTCCCAAGTGCTAATAGTTCCTCAACGATTGGAATAGCCGAAGGGTTAGAAACCTCACATGCTTATGGAAGTTCAAGAGTATTTTAAGGCTTTTGTAAAAATTATTTTCAGTTTTAAACTTGTACAAAACTACAATCTTCGAAGAACCAAAGATTTTCCAATTCATTTAGAATTTAGACTTTTAAATTTTGAACATTCCCAACGCAACCCCAGCTATTGCAAACAAAACTCTTATACTGGAAAATAGTAATATCCTCTTGAAGGAAATACTAGTTGTTCCATCGCTTTTGTGTTGAAAATAGATTTTATAAATAAAAAGCCAAAAAACGTTATTGAGGCTCTAGAAAACCAGAATTCCTTCTAAGTACAATAAAAAATGCTGAACCGAACTAGTAAAGACCTTCATATCGTACTACCTCTCTTTTGGTCAGTAAACCTCACGACATACTGGGATTTGTTAACTTGGGTTTGCAAGCATTTGTTACTTTCGCTTGTATGGATCACATAGGATTCATACAAACGTAAAGAAACGTGATACCAATACATACCTCATTGATGTATCATGTGCAATCTCTGCAACAATCCTTAAACAAGATGGTGACAAATTTACATGTTCGGCTGCAGCACGGATGGAAATTATCTGAATCAGCAGTATTAAAACAAAATTAATAATGAGAGCTACAAGACCTAACAAACCTTTTTTAGTTCATCAAGAGAGTAATCAATAGTGGGTATAATGAGAAGACGGTCCAGAAGATCGCGTGGGACTCCATGTGGAGACATTTCACCGGAACCCCTGACCATCAATTATACTATTGATTTAGTTCTTTGTTGAAGAGTAGTTTAGTCCCACAAACTACTTCTCACCTTACTTTGCTCATACCCCTATTTGTCGCGAAAACAACAATTGGGCTAATAGTGCTTTCGAGAGCTCTATGAAGGTATGTGAAACATTCAATATCCAACATATGCACTTCATCGATAAACAGCACTCCTGGCATTAATTCTGCTACACCCTGTAGACAAAACAATGATTAAGCGAAATACAACCACAACGTTGCTGAGATATTTGCAAAACTCTGGACCGCAGGTGTCTATGGTGGGGAACGAACGCGCTATTATCCTTTCCGGGGAGTAACGCGTTCACCACCACACCATGCGGGTCCTTTGTTTCGCACGTCTCTCAGCTATTTCTATCGATCTTTTTGCCACAGCAATCACCCGTCAGCGGGGTTGATCTGGGGAGCGCAAATCGGCATAGAACCCAGTTAAGCTATGGCTGTAGTTGAAATCACAATGTTTAACGTTTTGTTTTCTGCCTTCTATAATTTTCATGGCAGGTTACTAAGCGAAATACAACCACAACGTTGCTGAGATATTTGCAAAACTCTGGACCGCAGGTGTCTATGGTGGGGAACGAACGCGCTATTATCCTTTCCGGGGAGTAACGCGTTCACCACCACACCATGCAGGTCCTTCGTTTCGCTTGCTGTGGCAAAAAGATCGATAGAAATAGCTGAGAGACGTGCGAAACAAAGGACCCGCATGG